ATAATGTCAACATTAAAAAATGTTAATAAAAAAAGAAAGTGCTTACTTGCATTTGAAAGTGGTGACTGGGGATAATGTGCATGAAGGAAAGATTTAATAATGTATATAAAACACATAGCATGTGGGTGGCCCATAAAGGGCAATTAATAACTATCATGACTATCATTTCCAGAAGCCTGGAGTCCTGGAGATTTGCGTTGATTTCTTTTCTGGTGGGTCTGTTTTCTTCTAAAGGAAGGAGGACCCTTTGTCTCTCTGTCCTTGCCATAAGCCCACCTCTCTCTTAGCTCCAAGGAAGATGCCAGACTGAAGATCTCCTGTGCTCCAGCAGATGTCAGTCTGGCCTTACTGCAGAATCTAGAAAAACCTCATCCACACAAGCTTGCTCCGAGGATTCCAGGAGGGGGAGTGTCTTTCACAGGTCATCTAAGAAAGGAGGCAGGAAAAAGGGAGTCAGCAGCAAGGCTGCTATTCTAGGCTCACTGCCGTTTCAGTAAAGTGCATTGTAAAACTGGAGGGATTTGTACAAACATACTGCTATATAACAAACATTTATTGGGAGGTTATTGGGAGCTGGGTGCCTTATTAGATCCTGGAGATACAGAATTCCTTGAGGTAGTTCTTATTCTCAGACTTGCAAATTACATTTTGGCTGGCCACCTGTAGTGCTGAGCACTTGATATAGCAATAGGAAGCATCCACACGATGTGTTGAATGAATGAAATGAAATGCAGGCATGCAAGTAAAGGTGTCTGGGTGTTTGCTTGCAGAAGAATATCTCAGAAGGAAGCTGGGGAAATGGGTACTGCGTCCTCAGTTTGGGAGCAAGAGAAACCCTAAGAACGAACCAAATGATAGGTAGGGATGTTGAGAAAGAGGAAAGCAAGGGGAATCCCTGATGTCTAGGGGATGTCATGGCAGCTACCAGGGAAGAGGAATGAGTCCCAGGTGTGGTCTCCCACAGCAACAAGACAGTGATTCTCAGCCACCACCTACCTGCATGTGTGACCTTGTGCTCCTGGGCAAACTGGGTGGCCATGGAAGGCACCATTAGTAGTCAGAGCTACTGGGTTCCAATTCTGGCCCCATCACTTGGCTCCATATGTGACCTTGTGCCACCAACTTAACCTCCCTAGAGAGCTGAGTTCCTTGCCTATAAAATGAGGGTTTTACTGAAACCTACCTCATGCAACTGTGTGAGGATTAAATGAGATCATCCATAGAAAACATTTGTTAGCAGAGCTGGCCAATATTTAGACTGCAATCAATATTAGCTATTATTATTATTATTATTATTAGTTTTTCTAAGACTCTTTCTCGAACCATAAAATGACAAAGTGAACCAGCAAATGTACAAGGTCTCTCACAGCTGGAAAAAAACACACAACAAGGCTCTGATTTCATGCTTCTGTTTCCATGTCTGTACTAAGATGGGAGTGTATGGAGTCCGGGTGAGCCAGTTCTCAGAGGAAGCAGGAAAGCAAAGAAGACAGACTTGAGTGGGTAGAGAAATCAATGAGAGGGTTGTCATGGCTGGTGATGAGAAACCATGTGTACTTTAAAAATAAGAGTAAATTACCTCCTCCCATTCCATGCCAAACAAGGAAAGCCCCGGAAACAGTTTTCCACACTGATGTAGCTCAGCCTGACTGAACGAAAACCTGAAAAAACAACAGTGGCTCTTTGTCTAACAGATGGGCTGGTCTGACATTCATGGATTCCAATCTTCCTTAAGGCTCACATCACTGTTTCCCTCCCTTTTTGCTGATAAACACCAGACCTGGCAATCTCCCTGCTTAATAATTAACTAACCACATTCCCATGTCACATGGTCCTTGCCACACTTCTTCACCTTTCCCAGAGGCAGAAACACGCAGATGCTTTAAAATCTGGGCTCAGCGCACAATTTTGGCTACACGGGCATACACATTTTCAAAGTGGGGGTAACAGAACAAAGGTCCTCCCTCTCTCTTCCTTTCTCCTCCTCCCTGTCCTATCAGCCCACGTCCCACCCCCCACAGTGAAGCT